TCAAATATAGATTAATAATTATATTCAAATCAAAATTAATTTCAATTATTTTAATTTTATCTAAATTAATTCAAATATTTAAATTATTTAAATCACACATTAAAAATTCAAATAAAAAAATTTAAATAGTTCAACAACACCCAAAATGCGCCCACCCCTGCTTCCCTTCTCTGTTATCCTTAAATGATGTCATGCGGATGGAAATGGAGATAAAGATAGCCACTGTGGATCCATCTTTATCTCCATTATGTCCTCTGTAATACCCAGAATTTTTTATTATTGTTATTATTATTATTATTATTATTAAATTTTTTAAGGATGTGTATGCAATAAGGTGAAAATATGAGGACTTATGTGTGTAATGGTGGTAACGATGAAGGAGTGGCTTGTAAAATATGCAAAACTTAACCTAGAAATTTAAAAATAACGTGCTATTCTGCAGAACCTCTTGGGGGCCGTCAGTTTCCTCACTCAAAAAGCAGTAAGGTGACAACACAAATTGAGGGAAAATAGTTGCCAAGTTCATTTAAAGTAAATTTTCTTAGTTTCATAATGATTTCTTGGTTTTAGTTCAGGAATTATCTTAAAATTATGGAATAGATTTTGGGAAATGATGGTTCTGTCAAAGAGGGCTTTGGGTTTTATTGGGGTTGTTAAATTAATGGAAATTGACCTGTCTAAAGTAGCCTTATGAGGTTGGCTTGCAAGTTTAGCATGGTATATTGATTTTTATTGTGGTTGTCCATTTCTTCCTTGGCGGGCCAAACCAGTGGGGAAGTTTTCATGGCTGATGTGTGAAATTTAATGAGTATTTTATTATATCAAAAATTGTAAAAGAGGAAAAGATGCTTAGTAGGTGGCGGATTGAGTAAGGATTTTTGGAATTATGTTGATTACTAATTAGATGAATAGAGCGTGTGGAATTTGGCTGAAATGAACAATTGTTTGTAGGTAAAAGGGTCTAAATAATTTTTGGCTTTGCATTCATTGGTGTCAGGTCAATAACTGAGGTAAGTGGCGTTACCCTTTTTAAAAATGTTGAAAAATTAAATTATTCTTTCACTTGTTATTATAAAATTAATTTATTTGAAATTTAAGTGTTTCTTTTTTTTAACTATTTCCTTGTGGTATTTGTTTTGAAATGCATTTACTTATTTATGTGTATATTTATTTATCATTTTTTTAAAATAAATGTGGATTAAGCATGTTGGTTGTCAACTATTTGAGATGAGGGGATTTGATAGTTTTGTGATATAGAGACTTTGGAATTGAAAATTTACTTAAAATTAAGGTAACTTGTTTTGCATGGAGTAGTTGGACAACCCTATTTCGGGGTTTCTGATGGTAACTGTTTGAGTCGGGAATCATTCTAGATTATTGAACGATAAACCGTGTTAGACTATCCAACGGTAAATCATGTTAGACCATTAAACGATTCATTTTTAATTATTTATTTTGTCGTAATAGACCATCGAACAACAAACCATATTGGATTACCTACCAGTTGATATTCATGTGCCTCAGCCATGTGAGATTGAGAAATTGTTTTACTGATGAGTTTTTTTATATTTGTTTCATCCGATATAATTTTATTACTTATTTTCTATCATTTTTTAATTAAGATAATTATGCTTTGTCGTACTAGTTGGGTATGTTTCTTATTGGGTATGTGGAGCTCACATTATTTTATTTAATGTTTTCATATACTAAACATGGAGCATCCGGGATGTAGGGGAAATAGAGAGCCACCTTATAAATAGATTATTGACTTTTTTCCTATTATGTTTAGCATTTTGTGGACATTTGAAATAAAGAGATTTTATTTTAGTGTTAGTTACACTTGAGATTCTTGATTTAGAATTGGCTTTAGATGATGGATTATTATTATTATTATTATTATATTTTACTATTAATTTTCTTAAAAATGAAGAACAAATTTTATGCAAAGCTGCATGAATGAATTTTATAAACTGACTTAACATTACATACTTTTTGGGGTCACTCTTAAAGGTACGTGGCATTGTCATGTCCTAACCCCTAACCCCTAAGTTGAGGCATGACATCTTCACCACTGCATGTAGTAGTTTCTAATTAATCAGAACTCATTTTTCGTAACATTTTGCAGGTGGCATGTGATACATGTTTCCGGTGCTGAAAAGGACCAAAAGATGTAGCATATATATTTTTCATCTTGAAAGGACAAATAATGTAGAAAATTGAGAGAATAAAATCGTGACCATATGTTTGGCAGTTTTATGAAAGATATCATTTTTTTATAGAAATATGAAAAAGATTATTAGTAAAAAAAGTGAAAGGAAAATTAGGCATTTCTTGTGTTTCCATTTTTCTTCTTAACCAAACCAAAAGAAAAAAACATGAAAAGAATAATAATAAAATAATTTAAATTAATATGAATAACTTATTAATTTGAATGAAAATAATTTAATTTTTTAAAATAAAATTTTAAATTTAAATATTATAAATAAAGAAATAAATATTTAAATTTATTTATAAGATTTGATTTAATTTAATTTTAAATTAATTAAAATTTAATATATTTTTTGAATAATGAAAGATTTAGTAAAAAAAATATCTTTCAACTTAATGGTACCTTCTAGCCAAAAAGTTAAGGATAAATTTATAATTACAAAATGAAAATTATCCTTAAATATAAAGAGTGAATTAATTTAAAATCAAACCTAGCTACTTAAATAAAATATTAACCATAAATGAAGTGTAGTACCACGTAAGTACTTATAAAAAAAAGGAAAAAATCTTGTCCTTAACCTGGATCCGACGAATTGAAATTATTTCTAACTACATAATTAATTATAAATTAAATTGTTTAACATAATGTAACTTAGTGATCATAATTTACGTGAAACGTATTATGACATCTAAATCTTGGGTTCTACACCCAGAAACTAGTCCCCAACCCCCACAATTCCCCTTGGTTCAAAAAAAAAAAAAAAAGAATTATAAATTAAGTTAACCAGTGAATTTACTTCTCAATCATTTCTGATCTCTGGGCAACTAACCAGAAAAAGGGCGGAGACGGAAATGGAGAAAAAACAGGAGAAAAGGGAGTGGACACAAGAAGAAGCGATCTGTCTGATTACTCACGGAGATGGATTCTGGCGTGCTGTCGGTGCTGCGCTGATGTGCACCGAATTGAAAAGGAAGGATTGGCAAAGAAGAACCAAGAAAAGGGTAGAGAAACGTGGAGATAGAGAGAATGACAATAACAGTAAAATCCAATCATTTCCCACCTATGATATTTATTTTTTTACGAAATTTTTTAATTTGTGCTTTTGGTACAAATTAAGTTTTATTAAATATAAAATTTGTAATTAATTTTA